CCTCGCCGTAGATAAACGGGGGAATTTCTTTTGTCAACAAGTCTATCTGGATCCGAGCGGGGACAAACAACCACGTCCTGCCTATAAACAGTGCCCGGGGCGGGTCCCTCGCCCCTGTTTTCCAGCCAGGATTTGGGGAGCGGGGACAGTTGCGTTGTCCCCGTAGGAGCCTTTTGACTCGGAGAAACCCTCGAATTTTCCTTCCTCGACAGTTTTTGCTGAACCCATGTTCCTCCCTGACAGGCGGCGGCTATTTTGCCCTTGGTCATAAAAGCGGTCAACGCTTGTAAAGTTCTGGAAAACACAGGGAGTGGAGGAAATGCGAAAACAATTTTCGGAGCCGCCCAACCAGGCAGGAATGGAAAACGGGGGCTCCCGAGGCCTCCCCACCCCGAATGAGGAAAAGGGATGTGTTTGTGTTCGGAGTCGTCTCCCTTGTCCTTTGGAACTTGTTTGTCCGTGCGTTTTTGGCATGCACCCTGCTATATTTTTTTTTTTTTTTTTGTGTGTGTGTTATTTTTCTTTCTGGGCCATCCTCCCCACCGGGTTAATTCACACCTGTTAGCAGAAACCCATAAACCGGCCAGATAAACTGCGGGGCATAAACTGTTCGCCTGCCAAACTGCGGGGCAGATTTCCTGGCTGTGGGAGAACGATTTCACAATTAGGTACGCCATGGAGGAACTGCACCTTTTCCTGCCGCCTCTGGTCCCCCCATTGTCTCCCGTGGCACGCTTGGAAACCAAAAAAAAAGGTGCCAGATTAATGAAGAATTGCGGATTTGTTCCAATTTGGCAAAATGAGGAGAGCTCTCTTTCCAGCCTTGCCAGCTATGGGATATTTGATCCCAAAGACCCCAGCTTGGATCTGCGCCCGGCATTCCCTTAGGGGCCGTGTTTACGCTTTCCCTCTCCGGTTTCCTTTGGTGCCCGTCTTTCCAAGGAAAACGTACCCAGCCCGTGGCTGCTTGCTCTCGGACAGTAAAGCACATTCCAGCAATGTCAAAGGACGACCGAGCCCTAAGCCAAAGAGTTGGGATATTTGATCCCAAAGACCCCAGCTTGGATCTGCGCCCGGCATTCCCTTAGGGGCCGTGTTTACGCTTTCCCTCTCCGGTTTCCTTTGGTGCCCGTCTTTCCAAGGAAAACGTACCCAGCCCGTGGCTGCTTGCTCTCGGACAGTAAAGCACATTCCAGCAATGTCAAAGGACGACCGAGCCCTAAGCCAAAGAGTTCGGCTGAGGCATGGTCCAAGGCACGTTCCGCAGCCCCAATCCTCTCCAAATTTCTCTTTCCTTGTCAATCAGCTTTTGCCCTTTGCTCCCCTGACCCCCATCCGGCTGGAAATGCCTCCCCGCTCCTTCTGCTGAAGAAGGAGCCGCTGTAATGTTCCTTGGGGCTAAGACTTGGTTCACAAGGGTTTCCCACCCAAGCGGCACCCTGAATTAAGCAAAGGTTTTGGAAATGCTTAGGAGTGGCAGCTTGTGAAAACACGGCCTTCAAAATGTCACGTCTCCTTCAAAAAGCAAGGCCA